CTACCGTTCGGCACGCACGTGATTCGCAGATTAATTCGCCAATTTACACGTACAAGCAATTTTAAACCACGAGAAGAAGAAACGAAAGAGAGCTCAATTTGTTACTCACGCGCTGTTCTCGCACACAATCAAATCGCGCACAAGAGACATGTTTCAGACAGCGTATACATACCTGATGCGTACACATAAAATTAGCCTGTCAAAAACCCTTCACTGCATTGTTATTCTCTGTGCTTTAAAGATATTTTTTTCTTGCTTATCCGAAAAAATTGTCCGGGATGGGGGGGTCGGGGAGGTGAATGCATATCTTTATATATGTACGTGTGTGAGTATGTATGTATGTAAGTATGTAAAAGTTCTTGTATGTGTAGGCCTGGAGAGTCGCTACTCCTGGCATCAAATCTAGGTGCCTCAGTCCGCAGGATTGTCATAGCGATACACAGCAAGTTGCCATGGAGGCAGCCTTGATCAGGTCCCAGACAGAGTCAACAATCAGCATGTGTCAGAGGAATTGGGGGTAGGAACACAAGAGCGTCTCACTGCAGTGCTCTCTAAATACATGGTGCATGTAGACAAAATGTAACATTCAGCACTCAATTCTGCTCCCCAGAACAAGCAGAGCATTTACTGAAATTAAGCAGCAAAATGGCTTGTTCAGAAAAGGTCACGATTATGACGCAGAAGTACATGCCCGCTCAAAAGAATTGTGCACAATAAGAACATGAATATATATTTAGACATAGAGTGAATTCTGATACCTCCTCTTCTTGTTTTTCTTTTCTCCTGGAATCTGTGGCATCAGTATCACCTTCATTCGCCTCATCATCCACAATCCTGTTGTTTTCAGTTTCCTCATCGGCATCATCCTGTGGAGAAGTCAAGCATACTGCTGTCGTTACACGTTTAAGACATGGTAAGCAGCACACGTGCGGCCTGTTGTGACGGTCTACCTCTTTGTGTGCAATGGCACCGGCATCTCGATCATTATCACTCGCCATGGCTTTGCGCGTATCCACCACATTGACAGCCGCCAGTTTAGCACTCAGCTTCTTAATGGCCTCCAATAGCATGCGAAAGAATCTGTAACGTACAAATAAGCCTGTGAGATATCAGGGAAATCCTCTGCAGTGAAATGCAATGTTGTTTTAAGCGTACTTCTGCTCCATGAACTGAAGAATCTCATTAGGGGTGAGTAGCTTGTCTTGCTGGTATCGCTCTGGGGGCAGGAAGTGGAACGTGAGTTTGAAAACACGTGACTTCTGGCTCCGTTTCTCTACCGAGCGGAAAGTTTCTATCACATCCACTTTGTGAAGCACCTGTACACGAAAAGATTAAGTGCACATGGAAGTTTATACATTCATAACAATAGTCCACCTGATTGACCTTCATCATTCCTTTCCAAACCTGTATGACATTCTTTTTACTGTAAAAACAAAAAGATGTTTTGGAGTATATCTATATTTCCACATGAGGAAAGTCAATGGGAAATGGGTGGGAAGCTCCACAAACATCTAAGAAAAATGCACCACAAGTGGTCAATATGACAGTTTGATATAATGCTATTGATCACCATTTGTTCTTGCTTTCTCAATAAAAGGAAAACGATATCATCATTTCTTCACCCTCCTGTCATTCCAAACCCATATGACTTACGTTTATCTTCGAAACACAAATTAAGGTATTTTTAATGAAACCGGAGAGATTTCTGTCCCTCTACTGAAAGTCCATTCCACCTAAGACATTGTAAAACATAATCCATTTGAATCAAACGGCTTAAATCCAAGTATTCTGAGGAAAACACGTTTGCTTTATATGATTAACAGATTTAATTTAAGCTTTTATTCACATATGCTTACTTGCTGTGTGAGAACCAATGAGGTTTGACAACTCGATTTTTATGGATTACTTATATGATGTCTTTATGTACTTTTTGAAGTTTTGGTTGCGTGGACTTGGAATGGAGAGACCAAAAAACCTCAGGTTTCATTAAAAAATATCCTTATTTGTGTTTAGAAAAATCTTTTGGAACAAAATGAGAGTAAATAATGGCAATTTTAATTTTTAGGTGAACTAGTCTTTTAAGTTGCCATATTTGAACACACATGACCATGAATAAGATTTGAGATCTATAGTGGAGAGGAAAAACGTTTTACTGAATAACACAGCACACTGTCACAAGTAAACACTGAAACAAGTTGTGCTCACCTCTGACAAACACACACGCGTTATCTTCTTCCGCAGCGTCTTAACACGTCTCAAGGCTTTCTTGTTCATCAGAACTGGAATGCTCATCATGGGGGTTTTGATGTTAGAGCTCGCAACCATGAGTATTTCTCTTAATCTATGGAAGATTTTTTTTTAGGTGAATCACAAGAACACATAAACAGTAATACGTGAAGTCTGCAGTAGTTTCCATTAACATTTAACTTTTTTAATGAAGGAGAGAGCTCAATAGCATATTAGGTTTTGATTTAGCATTTGTACAGAGAATCATTAAATTTTACTGGCATTAGTATCGCTACTAAATGAAACCTACCTTGGAATACCCAATGTGACATTCATCTCTCCTCTGCCGGCGAAGTGGAAGGTGTTGAGGGTCATTTGGGTGGACGGCTCGCCAATGCTCTGAGCTGCCAGCAGACCCACGGCCTCTCCGGGGTCACACAGAGATCGCTGCCACTTCAGCTGCAGGAGATGCCTCAATCTGTCAGCACACACAGAGTGAACAAAAACACTGATCACAAAATGATAAAGTACATAATTGATCATTCCAATAAATGAAACTAGTTATTTTATTTCTTTGCTCCAGTGGTTCTCAACCAGGGCCCACAGCAAAAACTTCCAAGGGAGACTCATGATGACTTAAAATTATTAAAAATAAGACAAAACAAGATGTTTGGGATTTAACCTTCCATTTTCATCAAGGATTTGTCTTTTAGGAGATAAATCGGAGATTCCTCAGATTAAAAATAACGAGTTTTCCCTTGTTACTGTCGGTGTAATCACGGCAGTACGACTGATACTTAGATTTTGGAAAGATATTCAATGTCCTTCACTTAAAATGTGGATTGAATCTATGATAGAGAATGTATCATATGAAAAAATGTTAGCTAAAGTGAATGGAAATCACATGGATGTTGACATGTGGGAGAATTTTATTCAGATTGTTACTTCAGGCATGGATCTAGAATCAGTCATCCTTTGAAGTGTGACTTGATTACCCGGTTGTGCATTTAAGTGTCATTTCTATAATTATTATTATTATTTATGATAATTACTTTTGTTTGTTTTGTTTTGTATACAGTGTATTTATTTATTTTTGTACTGGTATGTTTTGTTATGTATAAAGAAAACCAATAAAAACTTCATTTTCAAAAAATAAAATAAAATAAGACAAAACAAGCATTAAAATAAGCTAAAAAAAAAAAATTTATTTCTTATTTTAATACACAGCTGGAAATCTGAGGTACCCTCATTTTAAAATTGATTCTAGACCTGTAAATGTTATGTTAATTAATCAAATTCAAATCTTAAAACGCCATGGACATTTTTATAAAGATTTTTTTTGTTTTGTTATGCCAAACTCTGAAATATTTTATTTTATATATACATACAGTATATATATATATATATATATATAACTTTTTTTTTCAACTGCAAAAATCGTGTAAATTCATTCGTTCAAAAGAGTGGGATCCCTGAAGAACATGCAATCACTTATAAAATTTCTGGAATTCTGGAACTTATTTTAATTATAATTATTTTGATTACTTAAAGACATTCCTAGTTTCTGTAAATGAAAAAAAGTTCAGAAAACAAATGTAATTTCAGCATGTGTACCATAGGACATCTATTCGCCTATATTAAATATCATTGTGGACAATGAGAACCACTTCTGACAACAATTTTCCAAATTCAAAATTTAGAAGTCTAGAAATGGCCTTTTAATCCAGATAATAATTTAATGTTGAACAGTCAACAACGAGTCTTACCTATCCGTGTCAATGATTTCAGAGGAGGTCTGAAATTCCTGCTTGACATTGAACTGATTCATGTAGGACTCAACAATGGAGTCAAAGGTCTCAGACACTGAACCAAAGCAGATGTCCGGCCGGTAAAGACCCAGACACGGGTCTGGACAATGAGACGTCTTCTTTAAATACTTCTTACGGCCAGACTCATCCAGAGCTCTCCAATTCTCCAAGAGCTAAATACACAAAATCTCATTGTCATGTAGGTAAAGTGCACAAGTGCAAGTCATACTGCGTTATTTTGAGAATGTCTGGTTTATTGAATCATCTTTCTAACTAAGTACTTTACAGGATGCCATTGTGAGACATTCATAAACTAAAACCCCTTTATAAATGCTTCAGTACCTGTAGAGTGGCTGGCTCTCTCCCATTGGCCAGTGTCTGGTCTTCGATTTGAGACTTCAACTTGCTCAGTTTCTTCTGTGAGAAGAGCAGGAAGGCACCGTCTCTGGGTGAAACACGCTCATGTTTGGCTTTCCATCTCTTAATGGCTTTAAAGTGATTAAATGCTGCCTCTGGGTCCATTTTAGCCAGAACTTCATCCAAGCACTTTGACTTTCTGATAACCTAGAAAACAGTGCATTATATAAAATGTTAAATGTCTTCTTCCATCAACGCAACTGTGCACAGACATGTCTAAATAATCTTATTGTAATCATGATCACAATTTGTGCTTCTCTCAGTTAATCAATCATAATTGTCTGCAACAGTCACCATTATTATTTTTGAGCAAAATACTTTTAAGACTAACATATTGATACTAACACCCAAAAAACTTTAATTTTGATTTCATGGGGACTTTAAGTACTGAATACTTAATACCCTAATGTACAGTTACCTCGTAGTTGTCTTTGATGAAAGGGAACTGCTGCAGCTGAAGGAACTGGGTCTTGGGGATGTCCAGGCCGTCCTCTCCGTAAAGAAACTGGACCACACTGCCATCACTGTCTCGCACAGTCAGATCATACTGGACCACCAGACCTTCTAGATGCTTGATCACACACCTGAAATGCCCAATGACAGTATATGTCATTATACAATGAACCAGTATACAAGAATATCACAGGGATTTTAGACTGAATGTGTTTTTCAGTCGGAACCAGATCTACCTCTGCAAATAACCAGATCGACTGGTTTTGACAGCAGTGTCCACAAGACCTTCACGACCAGCCATACAATGGAAAAAGAACTCCTGAAAATATAAAGACAGCCTCCAGTTAAAATCAAAGTTTGTTTCATTTTTCTACACAAAATGAATGTTACTCTAAAAAGTAAGATTTTCTGGAAAAACAAATGTGGTGCTTGACTGTACAAAACAGGCCACCATAATGCTAGGATGGTTACTACAGGGTTGCTAGTGTGTTCACCCTGACAAGCCACATGATTTGAGGTATCATTTATGTCCACAGCCCTAACTATGCAGGACGAGTTTAATCCTTGGGGGTTAAGGGTTTGAACAAACCCTTTTGATTAAGTGTGGACACTAACGAGGCTGTGCATTCACAATCAAGAACAGTCCAGTCTGAACGTACAGGAGGTTTGATCCCCGTCAAGAATCTGCCAGTTACGAATCCTCCGGATCGCGGCTGAGGTTCATAGGGCTGAAAGCAGGGCAGGGACTTCCCAGAAGGCATCAGTGGCGGCCGGCGGCCCTCCAGCTCAATCTGACCCAATAAACAGGAGATCTGCACATACACAGGAACTTGGTTCAGAGGAAGATCACGGCTGAATAACATGCCATGCTAACATCTGCCATTACCTGACCCAATCATTGTCATAATTCATCAACCGTAGATCATTAACAATCACTTGGCATAAATGTGCTGTAGTGATGGGAGAAACAAAGCTTTTCAAAACACACAAAGGTTTTGAACCTTAACAAAGCAGTTTTGAAAGCGGCCATCATTGCTGACCCTAGTTAGCTGTGGTTGGCCTGGCCGTGCGTCACTCAGAAAACAACTGGCCAATCAGAAGAGAGGCTCATGAATATTAATTAGACAGACCAAAATCGACCTGTTCTCAGCAGAGCTCCTGAGAGACCAGCTGTAAAAATATATTCAGATGGTTTTTGGTACTTATACCGCAAATATATATTCTTAAGGACATCAAAACCTAAAATAAAACTCCAGAAAGGTGTACAATATGGGACCTTTAAATAAACTCTTCCTTAAATGACAGCACAAGTATTTTTTTTAAGAAAGCTACACGGTTCAAACGGTCCTATGAAACGGGAATGAGCTGGTCAATCTCCGTGATTTACCTTGGAGCCACATGTGACTGACTTTTGGATAATTTTCCTTCTCTGTTTGTTGGCTCCATCTTTTACTAGAATGTCTTCCACACCTGTCAGAAAAAAATACATAGTTTAATACAAAATACCACTCTACCTTGTTTGTTCAACAAGATAAGCTGGTATTGATGTGTGATCTTACCCAAGGTGAAACCGCGGTAAAGCTGCAGGTAGGCAGTGAAGAGCCGTGCCAGACAGCTGAGCAGTTTGCCGCTGGTCTCTCCTCCGTAGAGCTCGTAGCAGCAGTGGACCAAACCGTACGCTGAGCTGCCATAGTGGGCTTTATCCAGAACTCCCAGCAAGAGCTCTCCCTGACGAATGACCACCTGAAAAACACAGTACATTACATTACTAGGGTTGGGTACCGAAACCCGGTACCAATATGGCACCGGTACCCATGTAACCGGTATGTACTAGAACCGAATCAGAACGCAAATTTCGGTGCCATGCCTGAGCCATCGATTGAAATATTTGTCCTCTGGTTCTCCGAAACGGACGTAAGAAGCATCATCACCGGCACCGCACGTGAAAAATTATTTCCTGACTGAGAAAATGCATGTGAACTCAAGTCGGAAAGCTCTAATAATACAAATCCAAGAAATCTTTGTAGTAACGCGTGTGTCCATGTTGTTTTCACATTCTGACTTAAAAGCACAACTTGGGAAATGAGAGCATCCGAGGAGCACGTGAATGCAGTAATTACACTTGCTCTGATGGCAGCAGGTAGCCTTCCGTTAACTA